ACTGCACATGACTGTGAGTTTTAGTGTTGTGGAGCTCTGTGACACACACTGCACATTTTGACTTTTAATTGTTTTTTTTTATATAAAATGAATCTCTACATAGCAAATCATTTTGACATCACTGCTTTAATTCTGTAAACTAGGTATTTAAAAACTGCACAGACATTATCATCTAAAACACTTAATAAAGGGCTAAAAACAGACTGTGTGAGTTACTGGAAAACGGTCCACGTAAGATGTGGTTTGTGGTCTGCGTGATTCCTTACACATCCCTCTTGCCGTTACTCTTACAGAAGTTCATTGGTAAATAAGTGTTGAAAGCACTCAGTCTGAACTCATTGTTTAACTGTCATTGAAGCCACTCTGCGGAATATGAATATATGCACTCACACACCTTGTGTATTGCACAATAGACTATGTTTACAGTATTAGAAATATAAATACTTAGGATACAGTATCTAAACTGTATGATAACATACACATTTTTTATCAAAATAGTTGGTTTAGAATTAAAATCCCCAGATCTGATGTATTGCTTGAGATGTTTATAACGTGCTTGTTGCATGCCTAACGTGTAGAGGCTCCTATCAGCAGATACCATACACCTAGCAAGAGCTGCCAGACCCCAAATATATACACAGCAATATATACACAGCGGGCGATGCCTCCTTGTCAAACAATATCTCCTGCCAAAGAACGCTGTGTCCTTAATGAAACCAGAGCACTTCATTGGAATTAAATCTTATTGTGATCTGTGAAGTTGGCAAGCTGGAAATATGCCTTCCTTATACCCAGCACAGGGAACCCAAGTGTCAGCCTGCTGAAATATAGGTTGTATGCCTAACGTGCTTGGTCAAGCCCAGTGCCAGAGTGCCCCTCCCTCCCCCCATACTGATAAATTGTGCAATGCATATCCAGCATGCTCGGTGGCGGTGCCAATCTGTTCTCTTCATACTAATAAACTATACCGTGTATACCCAGCATCGCCTGAGGCAGTGTCAGCTTGATAAACTTACTAGGAAACTTAGCCAGGAGGATGCAACCTTCAGCACTCTAACTGTTGTGGACTACATTTCCATAATGTTCTCATGTTCATAAGACTGGCAAAGCATCAGGGGAGATGCAGTCCACAACAGGTTGCCTTCTTCTGAACCATGCCATGTACACTCAGCGTGACCTGTTAGGCAAAGCAAGACTGAGAATGAACGTTACTGCATCTTTAAGTCCAATGACAGTTATTACATAATAGGGCAGCAGACGTACATAATCCAGAAAATATCCTCCCTCCGCCTTAAAATGATAATTCTGCCAGTTCTGTCTGTCCACAGAGCAACACGTCATATTTATATAGCCCAGGTACAGAGCAAGAGATGCAGTGCCAGTCTTCCCTTCACGCCCTGCTACTACACCATGACATCCACAGCACAGCTACAGGGGAGACAGCAGCAGTGCCACCTTCCCCACCCCCCATGGGAGCATAGTGCAGATTGAGGCAGTGCTACCCCCATACTGTTACACAACAACAGGTATATGCAGGCGTATACCCATCGCACACGCTGTGGTGACTGCACACGCCTTTGGACTGCATACATGTATTATGCTGTAGTGTTTGTCAGGCTTGTCTGCTAGATTTACAGGTAACTCGGGGTGAATCTAATGGGCTGGTCCACTGCCAGTTGGATCCAACTAAAGAAAGTAGCAAACTGAGCCTATTTAACCTCTTCATAACCAGTGTTTTGTTCACGAACTGGGAAAAAAAAACTAAACATTTCTATATGGCGTCTATAATCATTTGCAAGTAAAATAAAGCCTCCAATACATCAATTTACCTTTCCTGGTTTGTAAATTCTGGGCAACTTTTCTATATTTTCTATCTATATTTAAAGCAATTATAAGCCCATGTTGCGAAAACACTGTTTTCATTCTAGAAGTGTTTTTTTCCCCATTTAACTTGGCACGCTTATCTACGCTTATCTACGCTTATCTTACTAGCGGTGTGGGTTGTAGACATGAAGTGTTTTTACATCATTGTGATTAAGTTGTGATTTTGATTCTTAAATAGTATCAATGATGCATTCTTCGGCTTACTGTTTGTACTAAGTTTATAACTTTAATAGTGTTAAAATTCCAATAAATAAAACTTAATTAAAGTACATATTAATGATAAATTAAGATACTCCAGAAACTCTTGGAGCATTTACTGATATTTCATGCCGCCATTCACTCATCATTATTTCAGAATTAATGATAGTCCTTTTTTGTGCATTTCCTTTTTTAAAGGAATACTATAGTGTCAGGAGTACAAACATGTAGTCCTGACACTATAGTGCTGCTGTGGTTGTTTAGGTGACCAGCCCTACTCCGATCGAGCTGAAAAGGGTTTTTACTCACCTTTTTTCCGTGCTGCGTTGGTTTTGCTGTGGCGTGCTCTGCCTCCATGACTGAAATCATCATGAATCAGTGCATCTCTATGGGGAACGTTCAGCGCCTCCATGCAGAGCGCGCAGACGCTGAACGCCACTGCTACACACTATGCAGCACTGCCCCAAGAACCACCTCTAGTAGCTGTCTGAGTGGGTGTAACTAGGCATTCATTTAAACACTTAATTGAAAAGCTTGCAGGGACAGGTTATTGACAACAGAACAACTACATTAAGCTGCAGTGGTTCTGGTGACCATAGTGTCCCTTAAAACATGTTTGTTTGTTTTTTGGTTAAAGATGAGCTGTCACTTTTCTGGAAATTACATCACTGTACAAAACAGTAAAAAACACCCATAACTCAACCTTATTTATTTATTTATTTATTTTCCGTATGATTCTCCATATTCTTTTAAATGTATTTTAAACATCACAATCCAGTTCAGTGTCCCATTTAAACAGCAATGCGTGGTTTTTGTTTCAGGACAAAGCAAAATAAGGTGAGAAGATAATTTATGGAAGAATTCAGAATAAAATATGATAAGTGAATTAACGTGAAGCACTGCATGGGAATCCACACCCATCAATTATCTAGGACAATGCAATAACTCTAATTATACCCAACTATTTTGAAATGCTAACAAAGAGGAAAGACATAGATGGACTCCATAGAGTTTCATAATAGGTTTTACAAGAAATTCACTAAAGGCTTTCTGCCAACAACTAAGACAGCTGGGTTGCAAAATCTACGCACCCCACATTAACTGATAATTTCCCAAACTAATGATTCTCTGTGCCAGGGGAAGATACACAATTTTACCAGAGATTGAAACATCCTCTGTCTTGCCAATTATTGTGTACTGCACCCATTGGCATTCTTGGGGGAGGGGAACATTGGGGATGAAATCCTAGATATAGATTTCTTAAGCCACCGATCTCTACACTTGATGTATAACTTATATAAAAAATATTTTTATATAAAAAATTAAACAACAAAATATTAAGTAGAACTTTATCCAAAAATATTTTTTTCCAAAAATATTAAACTGAGGCCTATATTTTAATAGATGTATGCATTACACTTTAAATAGCTGACTACAGATTGTCACTTTAAACAATATACTCATATTTTAGTCTTGGTCAAGTAAGCCCAGGGCAGCAGATTTTTTTTACAGTAGTTTTTTTATTATTTATTTTTTACAGCAAGCAACTCCTTACTAAAACACGTCAATGCCTGTGAATTTTTGCCAATACAGTCAGCAGGTTCTGGCATATTTTCCTTTTATTTATTTCATTAATTTGTTCATTGATTAATATCAAATGTATAATTTTTCAATTTATTCTCAGTTGATACAGATCTCCCTTTAATTTATAAAGGTATTAATAATTTTAGCTTTCTATTACTGCCCTCTTAACTTTTATTATTGGCAGACTATCATTGTCACAACTGAGACTGGATTTATCTTGATTATATCTTTATAAATATTGGTGTATTTTTTATTTTCTTTTTGTCATTGTCGTTTTCCTTATTACTAAAAGACAATATGACTATCAACATCCATTTAACATTCTAATAAGCCTCAATCTAATCGTATTCTATGCATTTCATTGTCTGATATCTTCTGTCTATACCCACATTCTTAATAAAAATGATATTCAAAAAGTATCTACAAGTATTGTCAATTTTTTAATTTTATTTTTTTTATTTTTTTATTTATGTTTTATTTGTTGTGTCATATTGTACTTGCTCTCCAGAACATACTTGAAAGTGAGATAATTCTTTATTAATGCTTCAAATGTATATAGCTTCTAAAAATATATCATAAAAATGTAAATATTAGTGCCCAAGCAATGAATGAGATCAGCAAGTCTAAAAGTCTCACGCTATGCTCCGATTACGAGACCATTATTCTGAGCTCGTTAGTTATCACGAAGGGCAAGAAGATCAGGTTGTTGAAGGACATCTACAAAACAAACAACATTAACTTCATGGTTCAAATGTAATCACACTGAGAACAAGCACATTACTACACATACACAAAACATCATAGTATTAGCTTTTAAAAAGAACAGGGAGTAAAAGAAGCAACCTGGAATATCCTGGCATTATTTTAGCGAAAGAAGGAAAATGTCACTCACACAAGAAAATAGTCCTTCTAGTTTCGAAAAGTCAGTGAAATGTATTCCCTAAACTATGAGCGAGGAAGAATAGACAACGGAACTAACATTTTTAGACCAAAATAGTCACGACTGAAAAATAAATCAAGTTGGAAAATGTTTTTAGTTTAGTTGTGTTGACCTTCAAGGGACACTATAGTCCCCATAACCACTTCTGCCTAATGTAGGGGTTCTGGAGCACGTACCCAGTCCATGCAGAAAAATCATTGTAAAGGCTGCTTTTTCCGACAAAAGGCAGTTAAAAATTTAAAAAAAAAAAATCTTTATTTTAGCTGTGCATAGATGTTACAAGTAGGCTTGCAATGCCACAACAGCTAGTGCAATTATTTCAGTAGACGTATAGAAACATATATATGGCATTTGATAACATTGCACATTTTTTAAAGTAATTATTGTAGGATATGGCAAACAGACTAGGCCTCCCTCGGCTAGACTGAGTGATGCTTCATCAGAGTATTCAAATGTGTCCTAATGCTAGACATAATAAAACTGCAACTGGTGAGTGTAGCGTGAGTGTAGGCACAAGTACACAAACAGGAGTATGTGTGTTCAAGATGTCCATCACAGATAGGCTTCAAGTAGGGTTTAGAATACATTCTGAGTATGGTCAGACATGCGCTGATTTATCAAAAACATAGAATGAAAAGAAAATTACAACATGCTAAACTGTAATACATAACAAGATAGCTTTACTGCCACTAGACCACAACTCTCCCGAGTAGGGTGGGGCACATAGGTCTATTTCCCTGCTATAAGGACAGTAATTTAGTAAATCATAAGTTCAACCAATACCATGGGTGGGATGCCAAAGGTAGACGCTTTTTGTATTCTAGGAGGCATTGCGGAGGGGCGAGCCAAAGCCTGCTCCCAGCCCCAGGCTGTTACTGAGGCCTGCATCGTAGATCCATGGACTCGGGGGCTCCACCCTGTTGTGGGAAAGGCAGACGACCTTGGTGGTTAAACGCTGCCGGTGGCAGGTGATCCTCCGCCTGCGTGGTTGATGCTTAGGAGTTGGTCCTCCGATGGCCCTTGGCCCAGGTGGGCATACCTTAGGTGCAACCGGTGCTTGAGAAACAGCTATGCCCCCACAGACTGCTTCAGAAGTCAGGCTTGTGGAATGTCTCGCAGCCAGGGTGTCCAAAAATCGCTGGAGGATTGCTTCCATTTTCTGCAGGGACTGCTCAACAATTCCATGGAACACTTGCTCAGACTGTGTGGCAGTATGCCTCCAGGAGTATGGTACGTCCACCAATATGATCAGGGCGAGCTGTGTGCAGCTGCAGGGAGTAGCTTGGGTGAGTACAGGTCAGTGGGGACCGGGATAACCCCAGCCGGTCCAAAGGGGGGGATAATGGGGCAGTTTGGACCCACTCATGGTTAGGGAGATCGGCCACCTCTCCTGGCCACAGAGAGAACAAGGCCTCCCAGGTACCTCAGCGCTATAGTACTGAAGACCCTCTGTGGAGCGCCCTGAAGGACTCTGCTGAGCTGCACAGATACATGGGGCACGAAAGAGGGCAGAACGGCATGATGTTTGTGAGGTAAATTGGCTGAAAGTTTAAGCTGTAGTAGGAGCTCTCCCACAACACGTCCGTCCACCATGCGGTTCAGGCCCCGTCCCCCAAAAGGCAGTTTTAATTCCACCTCTTGTTGGTGTTTGAGTGACAGCCTCTAGAGGGTGTTCCCGGGTTTGGTCCTGCAACTTTTGCATGACCTACATTCAACATTTCCATGCTCTGTATGGAAAATGCTCCCCCATAGAGATGTATTGATTCAATGCATCTCTAAGAGGAGATTTTAACTGGAGCAGTTCGTCAATTCGGGAAGCATTGGATTGGCTGAAATAAGCAAAACTGATGATCTCAGCCATGGAGGCAGCTTGGGGGGTGTACACTTAGAGGAACACTGTAGCAATAGAAATACATATCTATATTAGTAACGCTACAGTCCTTGTGCCCCTTATCATTTGGCACGCTTGGTAGGAGTTTGTACGGCATACATTTGGCCATATGTGCCCCCTCCAAAACAAAAAAATCCAATTACCAAAAAATCTTAGTAGAATTATGAAGAGGGCTGTTCAGTTTAGTGACTGACTACTTATGTGGGCAGCTAGGCTTGCTAAAGGGAGTTCTCAACACTTAAAGGATCACTATAGTGTCAGGAAAACAAACCCGTCATCTTTGGGGGACCCTCACCCTCAGGATCCTCCTCCCATTGGGCTGAAGGGGTTATAACCCCTTCAGCAGCTTACCTTAATCCAGTGCCGGCCTCCCTCGATGCTTTCCTATGGACATTCTGCACGCTGGATGCGAATTTCGCATCCAGCGTCGCAGAAGCTCCTCTAGTGGCTGTCAGGAAGACAGCCACTAGAGGTTGGAGTAACCCTGCTATGTAAACATAGCAGTTTCTCTGAAACTGCTATGTTTATATGTGAAGGGTTAAAACCTGAGGGACCTGGCATCCAGACCACTTCATTGAGCTGAAGTGGTCTGGGTGACCATAGTGTCCCTTTAACTTCTTATAAGAGGACTGCTCGTTGATTGATTTGTTACAAAGTGCCCTGAGGTTTGTCAAATTTAGGTTCTAAATGTATTTAGTAACCAACATACTTTTGAAAGGTTAATAAAGAAGTATGCAGAGAAAAACAACCCCCAAAAAATCTTGTCAGATGTTCAATGTGGTGCCAAGTAATTCCAAATCCCCAAAGAATAAAACGTAATCATAAAAACAAACATTTCAGATTCCTCACTTAAAATGCCAACTAAACAGAAATCTGCCCAGCTGGCAAAGGGTTGTCTTGATGAGTGATTTCTGAAAAAGTTTCTATAAAACAACTATTTCCATTCTGAATGAATCATCAATTCCGCTTAACATGTAACACGGGCATTCAGAGTCAGATGGTTGAGTTAGAAATGCATTGGCCAATAAATCCGCTACAAAGAAAGCAAGTTAATAAGATGATAAAATTCTCCGAACAGCACAGAAATTTACTAAACTCTGAACTGCAGCAAACTCATGTCTCAATTGCAAAATTCAGGCTAAAATAGACAAATTGCATATCTTCGCTATTTCAAATGGCCAAAGAGGAACATTTTAATTTTAGGAAAGTGAGTTGGTGTGCTCAGGGGGGGCTGGTCTGAGAAGTTTTAGGGGACTTCCTAACAAGAATGTATGCTAACGATGTAGACAGGGGTGTACCTAGAGCATTTGGCACCCAGGGCAGATCCTATATTTGGCACCCACCCCCCACCTTTAAAATGTAAAAAAAAGTCTGCAAAATGTTTTAATGTTTTTAATGTATTTAGCACTGAACAGTGTTTGTATATTTATATATATTTTTAATGTGTTTAGCACTGAGCAGTGTTAGTGTGTTTGAACATGTTTGAATATGTTTTGGTATGGAGTCTGTGTGAGTGAATTTAGGGGTGTATTTGTATGTAGTGTTGGCATTTTAATGCAGGCATGCATTTGAGTGCAATGTTAAAGAAAGGCTGGGTTTTATGCACATATGCACATACACACACACATATATACACACTGACACACATGGAGATACATAGGCACACAGACACAAACACTGACACACATACAGATACAAACACAAATGCAGACATATACAAACACTGACACACATACAGATTCACAGACACACAGGCAGATCCTTTCGAACAAATATACAGATACTCATACAGACACGAATACAGATACACATACAGACACACAGATACAAACACATTTAGATACACAGTCACACATACAGATACACAGACACACATACAGATAAACAGAAACACATACATATGCACACACAGATAAGCACATAAACACAGTAGCACAAAGATACAGACACACATGCAGCCACATAGACACAAACACTCACACATACAGATACACATTGAAACATATATATCACACAGTCACACATAGACTATTACTCTATTACAAAGTCCACCCACCCTCTTCCCCCTTTCCGGCACAATCACAATCAAAAACACGCCCAGCCTCTTAATAAAAAGCAATAATAACAAGGAAAGGCTCCACTTACATTAAAAAAATTGATCTGGCAAAATCCAATTGATAGTCAAGTCAGCAGAGAGACTCCAGCACAGAGGCAGCTGCACTCAGAGCAGATCCTTCTGCACCGTGCACTGTTTGAAGCATTGTGAGGGCAGCGCACGCTGACATCAGTACGTGGCGATGCGCAGCTCCACACTCCTCCTCCCCATTAAAGAGTGCTGCACGGACGTTCGGACGGAGGCTGACCAAGCAGGAGAACAAGCATGTTTTATTTAGTTCACAATATATTAGCAGTGAGTTACAGTCTACTTAATGCGAGC